GCGACACTGAGGGTTGCGATCCGTTGCCAGACACGAAAAAAGACAAAAAAAAAAAAAGAACCAGCCTAAGGAAAAGACAGAGGGCGAGGTCTGGGAGCATCCCAAAGGCAAAACTTCTGTCATCCCCAGCAACACATTGCCCTGTCTGCACATCGATGTAGACAATACACAGAGTACTGCCAATCAGGGAAGCTCACCTGAGCTTTGGTCTCCAGAGTTTTAATTGGGATTAATTACATAGACATGATTGATTGAATCATTGACCACTCAGTTGAACTCACTCACCAGTCCCCCTTCCCCACTTAGAAGTTGGGCTGATACCATGTGGCTCAAAGCTCCGACCCTCTAATCACACAGGTGGTTGGTATTTCTGGCATGGCTAGCTGCCATCCTGTCTCCTCATGAGCATAAACAAGTATGGTCCAGGGGGCCCACCATGAATAACAAAGTCACTCTAAGAATTTAGAGGTTATCTCCTAGGAACCAGGGACAAAGGCCAGCCAAGTTCTTTATTACACAAGCACATGCTCTCAAATCAATATGAAAATGCTTCTTCAACTATTATTCAAATAAACAAGTCATGAACATTAAAACTGTACTTTAGACATTCCTCAACAAACAACTGTGAAACCAAGTGGGTACCCTATTCGGATGGAGCCACCCAAAAGTTTTATGAAAGTGAGCTGTGGCCTTCTTCTCTCAAGCTAATAGTTATTTAGGCTCTGGGAACAGAACTCTGCAGCTGGGCAGAATGGGATGTTACCTAAGTGGTAAAACAGAGTCATAAAACAGTCACTAAATTCCCAGGATAAGAGACACACTACCTTGACACATATCCTTGAGATATCTTTATGGAAACAAAAACCAGAACTTACCCAGTCCCCAGTGCTGATTGGAGGTAAACTTTCAGAAGAAATAGATTGATAAGAGCCAGATGAGTGAGCAGAAACCAAAAGTTGCTTCTTTGTTTCTGGAGATCCTGCTTCTGTCCTTGGAGACTCAACCAATCAGAACCATCTGCCGGCTACTGGAGAAGCCCCTTTGAACCCCTAACACTTTCCTTTAATCCCTGCCTGTAAACTTTCTGAAAGATCAGGATTTTTATGAGCTTTAGCCACCTGATCTCCATTACTTGGCCTTGTAATTAACGCTTAATTTCCCTTTCTGCAACTTGGTGTGTTTTGGCTTTAGCTGCACATCTGGTGGCTGGATCCAAGATTGGTTCATTTACAATTGGAATACATCACTTCTGCTTATACAGACAGGCAAGGACTTAGTCACAGGACTATGGCTATGGCAAGAGAGGCTGGAAATTGTAGTCTTTGTCCTGGGCAGCAAGAGGCTCAGCTAAAATTTGGAGATTCTATTACAAAGGAAGAAGTGGAGGATGGATATTGGTGGCTGACCAGGAATCTGTGCCACAAGACCCAAATACTTCAAAGCCATTTGGAAGCAAAGTCATATCCATGACCCTCTCTAGAACTCATTTTTCTCCTCTATAAGATGAAAAGCTTTGCACTTGTGGAAATAAGTGAAGATCACCCAAATAGTAATAATCAGAGGCTATTTATTCAGAGATTTCTATAACAAAGTTGTCAGCCACCATAACCTGCACTTAGTAGAGACCCAAATGCATGAAGAGAATGATAAAGCTTTATAATGGGGGGAAAAAAAAGGAAGCTTCAAGTATGCCATGATTTGAAGTTGATGACATGGGAAAGCTGCTGGAGTTGGGTTAACTAGAGGCAGAACATCTTATGGGATTGGCTTGGGAAGCATATTTGGCCTTCTGTGATTGGTCCTGGGTTAGAAGTGGGGGCAAAAGATAGGAGAACTAGCCATCATTGACAAAGTTCAGGCTGTTCTGAACTGGCTACTGCAGAGGTTGTGGTTTGGTTTCCAATGGTTGCTGTAGAGTCAGAGTTCTATTGTCATATACAGTGCATCCATTGTCCATTTGTATATTTAATCCCTAAGATCCCTCTTTTGGTCATTCTTTTGCTAGAGAGAGATTAACCAGTTCAGGGAAGGCTAGAGATCCAGATATTCCCCACTTGGGAATTGTTCAGTTGTCCCCAGAGTAAACTGTATCACAAGATCTTGATGTTTTTGTTATTGTATCATCATGGCAATCATCACTTAAGAGAGCAGGTGACCAGAAGCATTGAGCAAAGAAGCACTTTTCTTAAGGTGATGTGTAGCCTGTTCTACCATGCCTGTTTTATTGATCCAAGTACAGAAAGAAATAATAG